GATGTTAACAAGACGTACACGGTGGACTAAAGATAGGCATCAGCGTGTCACTGATAAAAACAGGTTTCTTTTACATCCACTTAAAAACAAGAAGCTGGGAGTGAGGTGCAGCAGAGCGCCTGTGTCTCCAGCTGTGCAGAGATCACCGCAGCTCTCACTCAGCCTCACAGAGCCTGGGCCCTCAGCATTGACCTCCACACATCAAACTTGACTGCTCGTGTCCTGTCTCCACGCCGAGTTGTCGTGTAGGCTGTGTCGCTCTGTCACAAGACATGTCCCACATTTGCAGCAGCCATCGTTGGCCAGCAGGATGAGACCGTCTGTCAGGAGAGCTGACACGCATGCCACTTTGCTGGGCAACTGACAGAGGGCCACGCCACACTGTCACTTCTTCCAGATCTATTGCCGGAGGATAAACATGGACACACACACACTGAGACGTTAATAACACAAGAGTAAACAGAGTTGGAATCTCAAGGAGTGACTGAGTGACAGAATGGCTGGATGACCAGCCAGGGCAGAGGAAGCTGGAACTGTGTGTCACCCCTCATTCTTACAATCTCCAGCTGTCACATCAAACACTCTGTTCTTGTGCTGCTCTTCTTACAGACTCGGGCCCACCACCTTCCCCCATCCCAGTCCTCTGAAGGGATATCATATCAGAAATGCATCCTGTAATGCAAATGAATACTAGGGCCCTAGATGAGCTCCTGACTAACCTGGTTTCTGCCCCATCCTTAAGCTGAACTGATGTGTTTTTAAAGAAAATTCAGTTTTCATGAAAAAGAAGGTGAAAAAGAAGGTGTGAAGTAAATATTACTCAGTTATAACACTATCCATAGATAAGTCAGTTCAGCATATAGGGATTTCAGACCAAGTCAATTTAATTCAAAAATACTTTATTTATTGGAAAGGAAAATATATTTTTTGTTTTCAATGACTTTTTCTAGAAACAAATAACTATAAGCTGGAAATATCCTGTCTAGTAGTCTGTTTTTGTATTGAATCTGGTGAATTCTTCGATAAGAGACACTCCGCTGTTGCTTAACACTGAAGAGGATTCTCAGGGTTGTACATAATGTTTCTCATATCCCTTTAGAATATCTTGCAACACAAAAAGTGAATCAATAGCTGATCAATATAAGGCTGAAAGCAAGATGTTTTCTCACAATTTAATAATTGTTTGCCCCCAAAGATTTAGAAATTGCACAGATCACATTTTTGGCTTTATCTGACCTAAATGGTTGCTTATTAAATCCCTAAAAAATATTCCTAACCTGTTTGAGTTGAGGCAATATCAAGGTAATCTCGATCGTATCTGGGTCAATTTAATTTGGCTTAAAATATATGCAGTGGTTAAAAAAAGTTTTATTGAGAAAGAATAAATTATTTTTCATCCTAAATATAAAACACCTTTATTTAAAACTTAATTTTGTGTTAACTGATGTCGTCTATAAATAATGATTAGATTAGTTTGGTGTTTTAAAATGTATAGAGTGACAAGCATGCACGCTGGAAAAAAAAGCTTTTAGATTATAATTATGATATAGTGAGACTGGACTGAAATGTTTCATATTTAAAAAGTTTATGAATATCCATAAAATACCTCAGTGTTTGTATCAAAACTGACTCTGTTTTGTGATATATTGAGGCTAGGGATCATCAACCTTTTTGACCCTACGAGTTGCTTCAGGCTCACAGAAATCAGAACTTGTGGCATTTTAACCATTTGTTTATTCTTTATTGGCAACATGGTATTTTAAATCAAAATAAAATTAGATGTAAAAATTAGCAAATCAATAGTTCCAGGATTTACCCTCATAATAAAAACAGACACCGTTTAACATATAATATTGCTCATTTTGCTTTATCTTTATTTTAAGCATTCAAAACGTTTCGACAAGAGATCGTTTGGGTAGAATTCTGGCTGAAAATATTAATCTCAAAATCACATCTAGTAAACATTTGTAGAAATTATTATTTCATTAAGATTTTCTGAAAACTATACTCTTCATCTCTAGATTAGTTTTTTTTCATTTAATTTTCTTATTTTAACTATATAGTTTTTGAATCACACCCAAAGACATCATAATTTAAAATAATTTCTCCTTAAAAAAAATCAGGTTTGAAACATCTTTAGATGGATTTTTGTGAATATTGCTGCTGTTTTTAGACCATGCCACATTTTGATCCTTGCTTTAGACTCTCACTCTCTTTGCTCCTGTGTCCTGACTCATACAGTTCAGACGGGATGATAAAGTGATAATTTTTTAGTGTATAATCAAAATTGTCATCAACTCAAACTTTATATTACTTCCAGTCATCAGAAATATGTTGATAAATTTAAATAATTGCAGTAAATAACATCTAAATGTGCCATTCACATGAATCACTTGTGCTTAATTATATATTGCAAAATAAACCTTTTGAATTACACCTTAAAATTTTCGTTTTTTATCAAGAGTAGCGCTGCATGTTGATATGGAAGGAAATTAAAAGATTTATAATGTTTCTAAATAAAGTTAAGTAACATGACAAACAGCAAATTTAAGAAGATTTTTCCACTTATCTTAGCTTAGAGACATGGAAAGGAATAATGAGAAATGCACACACAAACCCCATGCTACCATTACAGCAAACATGTTCTACTCACTTGAGACTTAAATAAAGAAAATATTATTTTAATAATAAGGAACAAACTAACCACATGTTTTGTGCAGGTTGCTTTGATTTTATGTTTTTTTTTTTGGACCAGTTGACTAACCACTCTACTCATTTTATTTTTTGTTGGTAATATAATTTTTTTTAAGTTTAAAAAAATAAGATACATAAGCATGTAACAAAGGGATAATAAATCAACCAACTGGGTCAAAGTAAGGCAAGGTTGTTTTCAGCACCATTTATTGAGTGTTCTCGCAAGAAAAACAGTAAAACCACGAAACAGGCTTAAATCAGAAGAAACCAGAACCTTGCTAAGTTTTTTCTGAAAATGTTTTGACACTTATCCACAAGCCTTTGTCAAAAACAGTGAAAGTTTGGTTGCCTGCAAATTAAGTCTGTTTGTGGTTGCTATGACCCAAATGGCTGAAAATTGGCACAGACAAAAGCCATAAAAGCAACATTAAACACAAAGTATATTATAGCAAGTAAAGTAACACAAATAGCTGAACAGGTCAGCTGAAACTGCCTAGCTGGATAGGTTTCTGTAGTCTTTTGCTGTGACAATTATCTATTAATCATACATTTCCATAATCAATGCACATTCCCAATAAATCAATGATAAGGGATATTTTTACTCAAGTTTATTTTACTACAAATTCACTTAAATGTCTCGAGGCTGCTTTAACGTGGTTTCATATTAGGGTTCATCTTGGTAGACTGTTGACTGTAAATGCAATGGTATACAATACAATACAATACAATATGGTATTTCTTTCCCTCTTTAACTTTACTGCTTCAACACACCTGACAACAGTATGAGTTATTTGGCAGAGCTTTATTGCTGCTAGTGAGGTAGTTTTTACATTTGATTCAGGTGTGTAGAACAAGGGATACATCTAAAAGTTGCAGGATACTGGTCCTTGAGGATACAGTATAAGTTTGAGGTTTGTGCCAGCCTACCCTGCATATCTGCTTCATACTGACTTATACTGCCCTCTTCTGGCTGACACATAAATCACACACCCTGGCAGGAAAATCCTGAACAACACATGTTGCTATGATGATTGTCATAAAAATATTAGCTCTCCATATTGAGAGAAGTGGAACAGGCAGCATACATGGATTTTGTTGGTCTTAAATATACAACAACTCAATCACACTGAATTATGAACTATTCTGGACTTTTAAATCATAAACACTTTGAAATCTTCATATTCCTGAACTTGAAGATGGTCTGAATTAATTTTAATATACTTAATTTTGTTTTCAATGTTGGTTGAGTCAATTCAATGTCAGTTTTTCACTTTAAGTAGGTGAAAAGTGATTTAAAATTTAAATGAGATACTTAGCATGCATAGAGTCCTCAGACTAATTTTAATAAATGTAATAATGCTTGACCTACATCGTAATTCATGATAACTGAGATAATCACAGATCCTTGCCAGGATCCTCAGATCCTGCTGTGAGAATTCCCTCTAGTGTGAGGATAAACTCTGAATTTGAAATGAACTACTGTCTAAAACAGGCTCCATCTGGCCATTGCCAAAAGGTGGCAGTATGGGTTTATGAAACAGATTATCTCCAAGGAATCTGACCAGATCAAACTCAACCACATACAAGGAGATGTTCTGTACCATTAAGGTGGAGATGATCTTTTATTCACTTCGAGAGGATTTATATCTCACGTGAGTAAAACACCTAGACTCATGAATATAAATGGATAAAACACAATGCTCTTTGAAGACCCACAGGGTGTTGAAATCCTCTTCTTGGTCTCTTATATATATAAAAGCGTGATGCATTAGGTAGGTGTGCAGACATACTGTACAGAAAGGAGACATCAGTTCCATCAGCTCCAGGCAGCAGCTCAGTGTGCTTCTCCAGAGACTTGCTCCAGTGTCACACTTGCTTAATTCCAGTAATGTTGCCCAATTAAATATGATGTAGGGCTGCCTGCTGGGAACCCAACGTTTTGAGTTTATATTGAAGAGTCTCAGCCACTTAGGTCAGATGGCTACTGGCTCTCAACATGAATAATTAATCCCTCAATTGACCTTGTTCATATCTGTGTCTCTACTTGCTGGTAACACAGCTGATTTGACAAGAACAACTGTTTGACTTTATGAATGTTGTCATCCTATGAACATTAAAAACACATGAAAGGTGTTATTTTATTTATGTGGAAGTGATAAGACATCCAGTGTGAATCTCGTTTAGCTGCTTTAGGTTTGAAGATGAAAGTCTGCTTGAAGTTCAAAAAAGAAAAAAATATGAGCATGATGAATATGAACATCTGTTTGAACAAGACGGAGTTTGAAATATTATCAAAGATACTCATTTATTAAAGGAAAAAGATAATACAAATGAAACAATTCTCATTTTGTCACATAAATGATTTCATGAGTCATTAACAGCAAAAAGAATCCAGTTTTCTCAGAGAAAACTCATTTGGCCCACTGCTTGGAACCATTTCTTCTGTGAGCTTTATGACATGGGTTGTTTTGACACAGGGCGCCTGCAAAAAGTGTTTTCTGTAAATTAAATACTGTACAGTGCAATTCCAAATAAACAATACATCACATCTGATCATTCATTGGTAAACATCTGTTATATCAAAGAACATATATCTTCAAAGTTTCTTCAATACATTACATTTATTAGAGAATTCACACAGACTCAGCGCAGCCTTTCGAGTCAAAGTATTTCACATTTAATGACCTCCCTTTAGATTTCCACCATTGATTTCTGATTAATGTTGCTGGGTTTTTTTTGGCAACTTACAGTCCCGTTTCTTAGAGCATAACTTCACCCGTTCTTCTCACACTTCAACTGCCCCCTGCTCTCCTTAAGTTTGTCTCTCTGGCTGTCTGGAATCTTGGAGTCTCCTCTTAGATCACACATCACGGCACGAAGGGCTCTAAATGTGTCCATCCGGGTTATCTGGGCGGCGTGAAGCCTGACTTCCGAACCCTGGGATGCACTGAGAGAGCTTAGGGAGCGCACAGAGGCCAGGCTGTGCTCCTTTCCAGAGGGACGGCGTGGTGTGGTCAAGCTTCCAGGGTCCTCTGCATGCTCCATGTCTCTGATAACCTCACAAAGGTAGCGAGCCAAGTCTTGGCTGGAGAAGGAGAAGGCTCTTTGTGAGCGGCGGAAGGTCAGAGGTGAGGACAAGGTTTCAGCCTCTGAGGGAGGGATGGCCAGACGCAGTGCAATAGCTGCACTGCCATTCCCATTTGCCATCCCCTTTTTGTTGTTGTCTTGAGGAAGCTTCGTCTGGGGGTAGGAGCTGGAGTTATGCGGATAGCTGTAGCGTAGGGACTGTGCAGGGCTGGGCTGGAGGGAGCGCTGCAGCTCCACCATGTTAAAAGCATTCTGAGAGACGAATAAAAGAAAAGGACAACAGACAATAAAAGATGCAATCTTTTTTTTTTTAAATGTAGACAATAAGAGCAACACTGCTAAGCCATAATGACCAGTGAAATTTTGTCATTGTGCGTGACAATTTAACCAATGTGGCTCATCTGATGATTCTGAGAATAAATGAGCCTGTTACTTAGAGTAAGATGGGAATCCACAACATAGGAAGGGAAATTGGCAACAACAGCTCCTTTGATCAGCCAAGTAATTAATTATCTCTGTGAGGGGAGGGTGTTCTTCTCTTACCAAGCCTATTAAAACACCAACATTAACAGCTATTGGTGCCATTTTGCTTAATTTCACCCTAATAGACTAACATCCCATGATCTCCAGGGGATTGATATTTGTTTATCATTCTGCAGAAGAACACATTTCTATATCAAATGGTAATGTTTCTTTTATATATTGTGAAATGATTTGTGTTCATAGTCATAAAATATACTGTGATGACATTTATGATGCTTTGGAGGAGTTGTCATTATACTATTCTACATTTTCAAATTACAACCACAAGATTCAATGTAATTAAATGGGAATCATTTAGTAGACCAACAGGGGGTAGCACTGAATTGTCTACTGGAATGTAATAGAGATATAATCTAAAATTTATTCCAAGCGTACAAATCTTAAAACAGTTGAATGCATTTTTATGTTTCCCCTTTACTCTGTTACCCTTAAAGAAGCAATAAGATATAATGAGCCCTGCTGTTAACAAATGGAACAATGACTTTGTTGAATGGATTGTTTTTTGCAACCAGGTTTTTGGAACCCACTTTGACAATGTCTGTTTGTGTGTTTAATAGTAATAATAAGGATATTTTTTGAAATACTAGTATAATTAAAGGTATGATTGGGAGTAAAAAAAACAAAATTAGATGAAAACAGTAGGACTATGGAGATCAATCAGAATGAAAATGCTTGGTTTAAACAGTTTTCAGACAGCATAAAAAAAGAGGCTGCTGTTTTTGAAATTTCAGTACAAGAGCATAAAAAGCAAATGTGAGATTAAGAAACAAACTAATCAAAGGAGGAAGGTAAGAGATATACTTGCTGAAAAATTAAAAGCTGGTTGTGGTAATCAAACATGTTTTTAATGCTTAATGTTTAATCCATCTTGAGAAAACTTAGTGGTAGTTCCATTCAGAAACTGAATGGAACTACCACCAACCCATTAAAACAGTGCTATCCACCTAAGGTTTCAAGATGAATAAAGGAGCCATTAATAAGGCAACAGTCAAGAGGTTAATAGTAACTCTGGATGAGCTACAACCATATCCAACTCAGTTGGAAGAATATTTCCTGTAAAAAAAACTATTATGTTTTTAACTTCAAATACTGTATCAAGCCTATGGAAGAGCGGGAAGCAGAATCTTTGTAGAAAGAAGCTCATAAGAACTTCTCATTGCAGAATGCAACAATTTCTGTAGGAATTGCTGTAACTCTGTTTAGATCAGATTCAACTGTTTGGTTGATTCTGACTGATTCTGCAGTCGTGCGAGAACAACACCAAAGTGTATAATTATTGAGGCAAAAACAACTTTTTTGGAGCTTTTAACTTAGTAGTTATGACCTTCCTTTATGAAAATCATGCCCAAAGTGATGTTTTGCTTAATCCATAGATATCTTAGTAAATCTTATAAAAATCTGCTCTCTGTGTTCTGGAAAAACAATCAGCCCTTACTGTTTTAAGCACCAGACTCATCCAGGAAGTACCAATCTTAACCCGCCCTGCCAGCCCAGTAAACTACACATAGCTTTTCTTCTGATTAGGGAGTTTTGATACTAGATAGAACATGGTCATAGTCGCTAAATGGTGAGATAAAGGGACTGTTTTTGCACCTAATCTTCACAGTGACAGCAACTGCTTTTTATAGGTAATTCTAAGCCCTAAAAATGTGTTTTTGTCCACAAGACGTCTAAGACTTTGTTTAGCTTTCGTAAAGAAGAGCCTTATTTCCAGAGGCGGAATGTTGCCATTTGGCAGGTACAATAAGGAGATGATGAAATGAGTGGCACTTCTCTCACAATATTTTATCCTTAATTGTATATATAGTTGGCTTTGAAGGCCTTAATATCGCACAGAAAATGTATAGGACCTTAATGATGATAGTAATGTGTAAACTAATGGGATCTAACATTGGCCTGTGAAATTAGAGGAAAGTCCAATAAAACACAATGAGTTTATAATTGTATTGTGACAAAATGTGTACAAGTCTAAAGGGTACGATTATGTAATCAAGTCACTTTAAAATATAGAAAAATATAATTAAGTGTTGTTTCTGTGTTTACAATTCAGATTGGGTATGCATCTACCTGGTCCTGTTCCCCGCCACCTTCCTCGTCGTAGTTGAGCACATTTTCTCGGATGTCCTCCCACTCGCCGTGGTGTGCAGACACGTGGTAAACACCCTCCTTCAGGCCTTTGTGTCTCCTCCAGCAGGAGTAAAGAAACAGCCCCAGCATCAACACTGTGAGGTGCCAGAGAGTGTGTTAGCACAGCATGGAGCACTGTCACATAATTAAAATGAGAATCTGAGCAGAAAAAGACTTTCTTTGGGTGCAAATGGAATGAGAACACAAAGTTGTGATACAAATTTTAAAACTCTGGCTAATAAAACCCACTCCCATGAAATTCCCAAGAGATTAAATCCGTTTTTCATCAAAAACACTCCAAACAGCCCCAATTATTTAAAATAAATAACATATAATGAAAAAAAAAAAAAAAAAACTGGAAAGCTATACTGCTGATTCATTCAGAGAGGCCTGCTGGCCACTGGGCATACAGCTAAGAAGCACTAATGGAACAAACGTGGAAATAGAGGCACCACCTTTCCACCTATTCTCTTTGATGTTGCCTCTCTGTTTCCTGTCTTATCAAAGACCTCAGCTCCTCAGAAACCTATTAAACAAATTTGTACTCCTCCCAGCTTAAACTCAGAGCCTCAGTGGCGCTGCTAAACGTGGAGAGGAATACTGCGGAAGCTGAGCAGGAAAAGGTCCTGAAGCACACACATCAATCACATCTATTGTGTGTTGAATTATACAACATGCTGGACTGACCTTTAAAACCCATTAATCTCAACCAATATTTCCATCCTGTCTGCCATCCTTCATGCTCATTTTTTCCTTCTTTTCCCTATCTGTTTTTACTACTTTAGATATTTTCTCTGTTGTCCCTGTATCTGTCTTCTTGTCGCTGCTGGAATGTCCATTACTGCTTACTCTGCTCGTTCTCACTTATTAAATGTCTCCCTGCTTATGTGTTCCAGTCCCTCTATGGTCTCTTCTAGTTTTGGCTTGTATCTTGTTCACAGAATGGGATCCATTTCACTAAAGTATGTCACTTGGTGTGAGCTAAGAACTTGGTTAATTGAAAATCTTAAGAAAAGATAATAGCATTAGACCAGGATTTTTTTTAAAGTAATTGCTTTGAAGAATAATAATACAAGTGATGACTTCAGCGGTCACAAAAACAGAAAAAAATTCCCACACATTTTTTCACTAAAAAAGGGATTATTGTTCTTTGATAAAGAATATTTTTTTTTTTTTTTGTTTCTCTTTGTTCGTTCCTGTCTACTTTTAAAACTATTTTTGAACCTAGGGACATGATTTGTGAAAGAATACATAATACATATGCATGTCCATTGTTTTTAATTCTAATGGGTGATAAAGCATTGAGCCAAAACATGTATCTCTACATTGTCTTGAATGGGCTGTGTGCTGCAATTCCTACAGTTGTTACGTAATTTGAAGCTGCATGCACGCTCACCCACAGTTTTAATACAGTAAGTCCCGTTTTTTTTCAGTTGTAGTAGTAGACTTACTTGACATGATAGCATAAGATTTAATTCATAAAAAAGCTCAAATCTTCAGCTTAGACAGCATTAAATATTCACGTGGTCCCAATGCATTCATAGACTTAAAATATATATTAAGACTTAGAAAAACTTTATTGTGATTTTGTATACACAGAGTGTATATAAAACGAAATTTAGTTTATACAACTTTCCGACATTGAATAAGCAACTTAGCAGTGAAAAAGAACATTTCCATTCATAAAATGCAGCATTGATTAAAGGTAAACAGTGTTGGAGAAACATGGTGCAAAAAGCATTGATGTGGAAGTTCAGAGCAGTGCAAAAATAAATAAATATATGGTGCAAAAATGCAGTAGAAAACATTTGAGTTGAGTTCTATTTGGTATGATGTTATCAGTATGATGCAGAGTCTCGATTTATGACTTGATTTAGAGTTTTTTCAGTTATTTCAGCAGTCTATTGGCAGACTGCTGAACTAACGGCTGAACTCTGATGGCAATGGGGAAAAAGATGTTACAGAACTTGCCAATTCATGTATTTATGTATGAACAAATCTTCAATTTGTATTGTATATCCACTAAACTTGACCTTGCAAATTTGCATCGTCAAGTTTGAATACTGTACATTGAATAAATGTTTTCTTCAGAAACATTCAGCAAAGAATTTGTGGAAGGATGGAAGCCTTTCGTCAATCTTTTAGGATAAAGTTTTATGAATTGCAAACACCTCTTGACATAATGAAGTGAACTGAAACAAATAATTCATAGCTATAGATTTAGTATCTGGATAAATTTGGTTCACTTATCGTCAGGTTTGGACGATATTTGCCTCCTTTGACAACAAAGTGAAACGACACCAGTGTTCAGCACACAAATAGGGAGAAGTAAAAGAGTGCATAAGTCTGCTGCTGCAATTGAACAGGTCCTTTGTTTAGCGGTGGAAAATCATTGTGGCAAAAAAAAAAAAACTTGTAATCTGACCGGAGCATCATTTTAAATGAAAAACGAGCCATTCCTCAATATTTACTACAATATTTACTGTTTCAGATCCAGAGTCTAATTTCTCCCTTTTTGTCCCAGTCAACATTAATTTTGGTTTCTTAGTCTTGTGTGGAATCTGTGATAGAATTTGAGTTGCACTTGTGGTTGGTCTTTTATGATTCATCTTCCAAAACTATCCCTCCAGTTTTATCACTGCATTGTTGTCTCCATAAAGTAGCCAAGTCCACTAAAGCCCATAGAATTCAACCTGAATCGGTTTCTCATGAACTAACTATGAATATAAATATCCAGCTATATAAATACCCATGTAAATACCCTGTGCATTAACCCTGTATAATGATCCTATGATAAAAAAAAAGAAAAAAAAAAGAAAAAGCTGTCATATGTGGACACGCTATATTTAATGTATATATCCATGCACCTTTTTCTTCCTTTGGTGCATTCTTCTCCTTTGACTATTTGAGCTGATGTAACGATTAAATTACTCCACAGTGAGATCAATAAAGTTAATCAGTCAATCGATCAATAACTAATGAAGAATACTGAGTAATCTGCAGCATATAGACGAAAGTTCATTTCACACGCTACAATAGTAAGGCATGTATAGAGAAAAAACAAAACAAAAGCAAAAACAAAACAGATAAACAAATGAAAATGTAAAATTGCACAATGCACCACTAATCATAGAGATCAAAAAGTTTCTGGCACAACTTTACTAAAGATTTGGTGAAGACTCCAGCAATGCTGCAAACATCATGTACTCACTTCATTGTTGTTGTTTTTTTAGTTTACTAGGTAGATGTTGTTGTTGAACAGCAGCCTATTTTGTCAGTCACAAGATCAAGTGGAATATCTGCCAGGTTAAGAATAGATTGATATTTGTTTCAATAAGCATGTTTTGTCTCCCGGTGAGAGGCTATATAATTTATTTTTTGAATGAAACTTTAAATACTAATTAATTGGGTCATCATGGGGAACATAGATGCCTCGGTTGCTGCAGGTGCCATGACTCAGTGTAGTTACTGAATTAGAATCTGGATCTATATGATGGCATTGATCTGAATATATATATATATATATATATATATATATATATATATATATATATATATATATATATATATATATATATATATATATATACTGCGCAGAACCCTCAAACTCCCAGGCCTCTGGTAGAGGACCCGAGCTTGAGGATGACACATACCACCCCACGAGGGGTGAGAAAACAGTTTTTTNTATACTGCGCAGAACCCTCAAACTCCCAGGCCTCTGGTAGAGGACATGAGCTTGAGGAGGACACATACCACCCCACGAGGGGTGAGAAAACAGTTGTTTTATATATATATATATATATATATATATATATATGTCTGTTTATAAATTGAATCAGATATTTGTAAAGTTCTTTTAGATGTAATCTATTTTGAATCGATGCAATATAAATAAACCAAATTGAACTAATTAGATTTGACTCAAAGAAGTGAAACTGGTTGTCCATTTTATTTCTATACTACTTTCATTTCAGACAGAAAAAAAAAACTGATTTCAAGAATTTCTTTACAAATCCCTGGCTGACCGTCGTCTGTATGAGGCGGAGGAGAGAGCGGTATTGATCAGCTGACCTGGCTCCTTGACTGTTAACGCCTGAGCAGCCTTGAAGAAAACACCAGAATCTTGATAAGGTGTCAGTTCAACAGCAGCTCTCATCCGCACTTCCTGGATTACTTGGCCTCATAGGTGCAGCCTACAGGCCCACTGCCTCTAGTATAACATGACTAGCATTAAACACATAACTACAGTGTGATGAAGACAGAGAAGTGTGATGGACCCCAGAATGTGGCTAAACTATAACCCCTCAAAAGTATACAAAATTAGTTGTTAATAAACACACTTTGGTTGCCCTGTAGGCTACCTGTAGGGACTATAAAACAGAGTTGAGTGTGCGTGAAAGAGCAGCTACACTCCAGTGAGATCAATATCCCACAGGTCTGAGCACAAACATCGCAGTCATTCGTCAATCCATAACACTGCTGCTTCTCTGCCCTCTAACCACTACTATGAACAGGGCATTATGATGTTATCCTGGACTGAGCTGTGCATTATAAATGAGTGCCGGAAAAAAAAAAATGTAACAAAGCAAAAGCCTTGAAACGTAATCATTTCGCTGCACCTCTAGTCTGAGAGCAATGAGGAAAATAAACAGATGAAACATCAGTGGAGAAGAGAGTAAAAGGGGAAGGAAGAAAAACTGATGAAGACGGAAATGATAGAGGTGAGAAATGAGGAAGATTTGGGAAATGATTTATTTATACATCTTTCAGAAATGAATAAAAGGTGGCACTTCACACATCGGTTTTAAAACAGAGCTTAGCTAAAGAGCGAATTATTCTATTCAGAAAAAAACAAAAAACAAACAAAAAAAGCCATATGAGTTGATACTTGACTAATGAAGATTGTTCAGACAATCTTTTTCAGTCAATAACCTGCACCAAGCTCACACTCTGCCTGATGCTACATGTTAAACTTAATAATGGATGTTTGCTTTAACGTATGTTAATGTACATTGAGGTGGAGTAAGAGGCCCACACACCTTTAACCTAGCAACCAGCCGACAGCTTTTGGTTGATCTAGTGAGAGTGCATTTATAGTAGTGATAGTAGTGGTTGTTGCCGTGGTGGGGAGCATTACTTAAAAAAGTATTGTTGATGCTGTAAAAATATCTGTTCAGCAAATTAAAGAACTGGGCTAATTTTATTCTCATGCATAACTAAATGCTCTGTTTGCTTCCAGTTGAAAGGAAAAATGTAATTTGTTTTATTGGTTTTCCTTACCTGTGAAGAATTCAGTTACACTCACCAACCGGTCTTCATCCTGGTCTCAATTACATTACAGAGTGGCTGATGAATCCAGTGAGGTGAAATGTTTATATAGTGAATATAAATGCCTGATCTGCAACCATGGAAAAACTACTTGAGTGTTTTTGTTGCTTTTAAGTCGGCATTCCAATCAGCTCATGAATTTCCATGAATGAGGCCACACCTCATCAGCTTTGAATTAATTATCAGGATTGCAGACAACTATATGTTTCCCTGGAAGGTGTCAGTATAATGGATGACCTAATACTGGCCACATGGCCCTGGAGGGAATGTTGAGTCAGTTATAGGCAGGGATAGTATATTGAATTGCTGAGGCGTTTCATATGACACAAAGACTCATAAACAGAACAAAGTATTTCAGAGGGAAGTCAGTGCAAAAACGTAAGCTTTTTGACTATCTTTGCATGTACTAAAATAGCTTCCTGTGATGTGGTCCCAACACAATTAATTTATCCTTTAACTTGACCTTTACAATATAGCATCTTCCACCTTTTGTTTGAAACATGTGAAGAAGGAATATCTTTGCATACTTATTTAAAAGTGAAAAAAAAAAAACCCTCTGGCAGCAGATGTGGGTAGATATTGAATCTTGATCCTATTAGATCTTAACACAGCTTATGAAACCATCAACCATGCAGTTTTATTCATCGTTTATACCAAGAGGGCAAGTGTCATCAGTTCAAGTTAAGAGCCGAAATATAATTTTAATAATCAGTTATCTGATCCTATTTATGTTGCCAGTTAAACATTTTAACTGAATTTTTTTTCAGGTCACTTTCACTCTATATGTTGTTTATCCATTTTTCAGATTTGCAGGGCTTGATCTCTAAAGAATCAAAATTATTGTGTGGGCAAGCCTCAAACCAGCCCAAATCACTGCATGTGAAATAAGTGGGCGTATTGCTGGTGATCTACAAAGATTGTGAGGGTAAGTGATAAGATCTGCAAACAGGTTCGCCCCCATTAAAATTAAAATTGCGTGTTGTTTCTGGCAGTTTGAGAAGCCATTAAATAAAGATGAAGTTCTAAGCCATGAAGTTAGAAGTAATAATTACATTACATTTAATTACATTAAAATAATTATCAAAAATAATAACAAACAATTTATAGTAAACTCTAGATAAACATTTCAAAGCGCTATAAATATATACAAAGTCAAAAAAATCTAAGGATTAAAAGGAAAGTTTAATTGAAAAGACTAAATATCAAATAGAAAACTGGAATAAAAGGAGCTAAAATAACATTTAGGTGGAAAAAAATTCCCTCTTACCACAGCTTAGGGATGTACACTGTCAGGCATGTAATATCTATCATGAGGTCTAACTGCAAACTATATATTAGGCAATGCAGATAAACCGTTCTGGCTGCTGCAGCTTCCGGGCTAATGTAAAGTACTTATCACACTGCTCAGATATTCACAGCTGTGTAGAGAAGCTCATTTATATAGTATGTATGCAGGGAAGTGAAAATCTATCAAACCCTTTACAATTTATTTATTTATTTATTTTGTTTCTGATTTTTTTTGCTATGTTTTCTCACAAAATATTTCAAACCACAAAAACAAATTCTGTAAAAATAGTTATAGCTTGTGTTTTCAAATGGTCTTTCTTTAGGACCAGATTGTGTTGAAAAGCTTTTTTTCTCACTTAAAGAAAGAAATATTTGAAAACTGTTTTTTTGTTTTTAAGCACACTCTTTTTGTCAAAACACAGAACAACTGTGAAATGGAAAGGATGATTTGTCACAGCACTGTCTGCCAATAATAGATGATCCATTGTCAAGACATCATAGCAGCTTTCTTAACCCAGTTAGCCTTCTGTTGGAGAAGTATATTAAGGCTGTCAGGCGGAACCTCCTGTTAGGACTGGAAATTTATTGCTGTAAAAATAAGAAAAAAAAATGTAATCCCAGATGTTTTTGTTGAGCAAAGAATGATTATCTAAATATATGTTATACTGAGGAGATATCTTATTTTAAGGCTGGCTCACAAAGAAAGGCCAAACACTGATTTCAGTGAAACATCAAACGCTACATATGCGCTCTTAAATCTAGATTTGGGCGTCCATAAAAAAAAATGTATTCTACACAATTCTACAAAACAATGAAAACATTTTTAATTTCGAACTATAAACTACAATGAAACATTTACAGTTTCTTTTAAATCAACGTGATTGTTTACTTTTTTATATAGCCATGCTTTCAACATGGTTACCTGCAGTGCTTTACCCGTCTTTCGACACTATTACATTCTCAGGCATCAGTGATACAACACTGCTTCTCACATCACAGCAAGCACAAAAAGGAGAGCACATAAACCTCATCTTATAATTATTGATTTCAAGATTCTGCTGCTGAACTACAAAGTAATTCTATCTCCCGTTTGCGGCTCTGAACTCATGACCTCTTATGTGTCAGAGTGCAGCTTTAGATCATCTGATGAGTCTTCAAAGAGATATTTTTTTTTGGTAAAGGCACCCAAACACCTAACCCCATGGCTTAAATATTCTATATCTTCATATTCTATCAAAGCAGTTTGATATTGTCTTCTTTCTATTGCAAATGATATAGATACCTCTGTGGAGAAAAGAGGTTTTTCTTCTTCTTTTATATTTTTACATGTTGTAATATTTAACTTAAAAGTAAGGGGAACATTTTTGTATAGAAAACAAAAAGCAACCCTAAATCCAAAAAGTTTATTTAAATCAATCTTTAACTGTATTTTTATCTTTTGGGAGATGTTCCCCTAGGTTAGCACATAATGAAATATTTTATTGCAAGTCTTGCCACTGATTTTCATTTGGATTTAGGTCTGGGGTTTGACTAGACTATAGTAAAGTATACATTTACCGTAAAAGAAAACATGGCTTTCTGTCTTTTACTTAACCACACATAGTGTTTCAAATGTAAGTCTCAATATTAGCTTTCAGTCTCATCCAACCAAAAGCATCTACTCCAGATTAAGCATGGACATTTTGCTAGGTTCTGCGATGAATGTTCTTCTTGTGCCGCTATTTAGTTGGGGTCAAAAGCCCAGCTCTAATTACCGGTAGATGTACCATACCCTTTGTTTTTATTTTTGGATGATGTTGATATCATTACTGTGTTCCTGCTCTTGGTGTCTCTTAACTATGACAAAGTTACACATCAATTAGATGAAATAGAAAGGCAGTTATATAATTATTATGGGTAAAGGGGATAAATCCCTGCAAAGCATGGTTTTAAGATTTTTGAAAATATAAATATTGTAAATTATGTTCCACTACAAAATTTTGCACTACTTTAAGATGGTTTGTCACAAACAATCAGGAATAAATTGGATTTATCTTTGTGATTCTAATATGACAAAATGTATAAGTGTGAGAATAAGAGAATAAGGAGAATAATACTATGTAAGGCAATGTAAGGCACTGTCAGAATCGGCTGATCTACCTCTACTGTATGTAGGGGTTGAGTTTAACCATAGCTATGAATCTGTGCTAAGCTTTGTGTTTTTTTTTTTCTTATTCTTAAACAAAAAACAAAAACAAAATAGTAATTTGAAGTTTGCTTAAAAACCCTCTGGAACGATGAAGATGGCGATAAAATAAATGTTCGCTCTGTTTTGCCCGTTCCATAAGCTGCAAAAACTAAAGTGCACACGGGGAGACGAGTGAGTGATGAGGTATATAAAGCTTGGACAATTAGAAAATAAGGCAGAGAGTGAAACTGACTTCTAAACCTCACAAAGAAAGAAACAGCATGCTGAAAATAAGTAAATAAATAAAGAATCTCTAAAAACCTCAAGAGACTTTTTTTTAGCTTTTCTATGAATCACAAATGTTGCTCTCATCTCCATCTGTCCTTCCTGTGTTGATTTATTCCTCATGTTTTTACCAACTGGCACATACATATGCAACTCAAGAGATCAATAAAGCAAGGAAATATTTGTTTGTTTACAGACTCAACAGAACAGAAAACAAATAAAACAGCCGATTGACACACAAACAACTGGCATGATGGTACAGACACAACGAAAAGCAATGAAACAACACAAGATAAAAGACAGTTAAAAATGAAATGAAGACAGAAAATGACCACGTTTGATCACCACATGTAGAAGAGGACATAGTCCACATAGCTACCTAGAAAGGCCATGACACAGATGCTGATGGCAAACATGGAGCTGAGGCTGAGGCTGTTGCTATCCTCACTGTAGAACACGGCAAGGGCCACTTCGCAGTGCCGCCCCCGGTAGCCCTCACTGCAGTGGCACGAGTAGCGGGACGGCGAGTGAGCCACGCACGTGCCATGTCGACACGGCCGGCTAGCGCAGAGCGTGTAAATGCACACTCTGCCCACGGAGGTCTCTTTGGTCATGTGGCCCGCAGGGCACCTGTGCAGAGAAGATGAAGAACTGTAAAGCAGAGACATGAGACACTCGGGAAGCTGTCATGTAATAGTAATAACAAAAAAAAAAAGAACACTGAATTTTACAGGAGTTATGAGGTCTTAGCTGATGGTGTAAAAATAAATCCCTCAGGAGTAACACCTCTTATATCTGATTCAAAGATATGTTCTTTGAAGGTTACAGAATGTTGTCTGTGAATTAAAAAAAGGAAAAGAAAAGAAAGCGAGGAGCAGAGATTGGCTTTGCAGTAGTATTCCCCCAGTATATTTGTACAAACTATCCCCTGAATATCATTCATCCCTGCCCCCTGCTTCTGTGAGTGCTTTGTATCCTGAGGCTGTGCTGCAATCACAGAATATGGATGCCAAAGTCCCCACTGGTTTTGGAGTGTTGAAATCACAGCAAACAGACTTAGTAATCCTGCAGAGTTTAAAGGGCCATTCAAAACTCTTATAGCGGCTGCTGGTAAATGCTTTTTTTTTCTAAAGTTGACTCAGTATTTGACACGCAGAATTCACCTGATGCCTTCGTCTTGTTGATATCTTTTTGACACCACTGCGTCAAGAAACAGAAAAATTCACACTGGATTATCTAACTTTATGATGCAAAAACTCCTTAATCTATATTCATTTATGTATGCCTGGTCATTTATTATTTATTTACATGTAAGTCCTGAATTAATAAAAACCCCATGACTTTTAATGTTCTGCTATTAAATTCAGGGCTGTTCATTTTAGGCTGCAGCACCTTAGCAACAAGCTGTTTAGTGAGTCCCTTTTTTTTTTTAGTTCTTCTGTTAAGAACCTTTGTGTAACCTTTGCCTGATGCGCACCCTTTAAATCTTTTCAAAACATGTTTTAAGTTAACCTGTTGTTCACATATGAAATATTGCCACTATATGGAAAGGTAAACTTCCATGCCTTTGTTGTAGCAGTGTTTTCCAGTAAATTTAAGATGCTACAAGTTTTCTGTTAAAAAAAATTATAGAAAACCTTTAGGTATTTCTTCAGCTTTTGCCTCACATTGGAATCGTATTACTGAATCTGGAATTTAATTTATTTTCATCTACCTGCATATAAAGTCAAGTTCAATCTTGTATTAAAGAATGAATAGATCAAATGTTATTTTATTTGCAGCTAATATCAAAGCTCTAAGCATTTATGCTAAACTGCAAGGCTTTTGACATACAGTAAAAGAGGAGTTCAAGACAAATTTTTTCCAATCTGTTTCTACCTTGAATGGCATATATTCGGTATAATTCGACCTGGAATAAAATAAACTATCGGAGGAAAACCTATTGAGGTTGCTCTAATTCATTTGCATTAGTGTGGACATATTTAAACGATATGTTAATGAAACATCCTCTGATTAAATTTCAGTGTTCAGTTCTCTTTGGTCATCCGCGCTTGTAAAAGTTTTTCTTTTTTAATCTATTACAGTATGTGAACATCTATACTGTAGAGACTCTTGTGGTGAGCAGTCTGCAGGCATAGGCCTTCCTCTTTGCGCCTTACAGCAGACATTTGAAGTTATTCTTTAAATAGTTGTGTTACCATGATCTTCAAAGGATCCAAATAAGGAGAGCCAAAAAAAAAAATAAACAAAAAAAGGGAAAGAAAAAAAACAAACAAAAAAAATCTCAATCTGCAATAAATGGGTGTGTTGTGGTGACCTACAAATATTGCGTGTACAAAGGAAAAGACCTGCAAGAGATTCAGTTCATCTCCATTAAAATGGACAAATCTAGTGTACTACTGTCAGTTTTATTTGAAATTGGTAGTAAATAAAAGATTAAATTCTAAGTAATGGAGTTGGAGGCATTGCTTTTCAATATTTTCAAAATGTAGAATTTCATCTGAAGCTAATGACAGAGAATGATTCCGTCACCAACATATTTTTTTTATTTTAAGCATTCTTTTTGTCATACACTCTATTGTTTATTGATTGATTTTATTTCAGAGACCCTTAATTGTCCCACAATGGAGTAACATGTCCTTTACTAACCAATCCCCTCTAGGAGCTGTAGGCTATACACACACTGAGTGCTGCCATGGAAGCATTTTGGGGTTATTGGGGTTTTGAACGATTGGACCATTATATATATTTTTTGTGGCTCTTTCAGAGCTCTCTTGGCCAAATATTTATGCGCATTAGGCATTCTTAATCTGGGTTTTTAGAGATTTAAATATTGGTGTAAAAGTCTTTTTTAGAGATCTGTCATACAGCTATCAAGATTTTGAATAAATGGGAATGCTCTCAGATGGAGAACAGAACCACTTCCAATCAGGAAATCCTGCAGGTCCTTCAGTGATGAACTCCCTACGACTGATCTTCTGTCTTTGATCATTAGCTTCGCCACAACCTATTGTACGAAAGTATAGAGTGGTCTTGTATCATTTCATTACATCAGAAAAATATGTAATTTGATCCTGGGACATAAAGGCCTTTTATGTGCACTGCAAGGACCTTTCTGGCAGAAATATCTAATGAGATCATATCTAATTGTAAAAGTCTTCAATTGAAAGTACTAGAGGCTTCACTTTCTTGAACCTACAGTATTACTTCCTCTTACTTATACTTTACATTCTACTCCTAAGACCTACTTCTGGAAACTACCAGCTTTATGATAGGGATATTCGTTATATTGATAATTCAGTTCCATGTAAGTTCAATGACTAACTTAGCATTACCGTAATCTTTGATGCAACACATTGCCAGAACCAAAAAGTTCTTATGAATCAACAAATAGCTCCAAAGATGAACAGACCAAATTCCTCATTATTGTCCCTGACCAGCTTCAGTCTACAATCATGCAACCCTTTGCTGAATTAAACTCAGTTTTCAGGTATCCTTAGAAACAATAGTGTCACATTTTATTCTGTTACATCCTTGCAACACTATTTGTGATAATGAATGAAGAAGTGGCTCTTCGAGAAGTGGAATATATCTAAGCTTTGAAGTCTTTTTAAGACTTAAGTTTAAGAAGATCATTTATAGTTTTATGTCTTCAGGCATTACAGGGTGCAGCTTCAAGGCAAACACTAAAGAAAAAAGAGACATTTTACACCCATTTTAGTCCCTTTGCACCCTAACATTTTGGAATACATTTTTAAAATCTCAAACCTGACTCTTAAAGTAGTTCTGCCCTTGCTTTCATCTCTAAGAGCTTCTCCTCTTGCAGTATGAAATAATCCAGTGTTTACTGATAGTGCCCTGGACACATTTGAAGCCTACAGAGGCCAGTTTATTTATAATATGTATTTCGTTTTATCATTAAACCTACTTTAATGCTTCTATTCTTGTGTCTTTTAATTTTTTTTTTTTTTACAGCTCTAGTAGGTCACCTTTGTGACAGTAGACTGAAAGGGAAGGGGGTATGAGAGAGGGGGAGAGACATGCCGTAAAGGGCGGCAGGTCGGATTCGAACCCTGGTCGGCCGCGTCGAGGACTATGGCCTCCGTACATGGGTCGTTCACACTAACCACTGTTTCACCTGCCCGCCCGTGTCTTTTGCTTTTGTCATTTATATTTGTAGTTTTTTTCCTTATGTAAAGGACTTTTTGTGTTTATCAGACTCATGTCCTCTATAACTAGCTTCTATTTTTGTCTGTCGGACCCATACAGTATCTAGTTGACAAACTGGGCTTAATATTCTTGCTTTTCATTAAAGGTATTGCTCATGTGGATTCTCCTAAGCTTTTTTTCATAGTCTAAGATAGGCTGTCAGGGAATAACTAACCAGTTTTCAGAGTGCTAGAGCTATGCTTACAGGTGAGTGTGCTCGCTAGGATAGGGAAGTTAGTAGCGTTGGGAATTCCCACTTACTGCAGCCTTAACTCTGCAAAAATGTCCTTGTCCGTCATCTGCATATACAGTAGCGACTGAAAGGGAATTGAACACTTTTATTAGTATGTAGTAAATAAAAACAAGTACCACATAATAATATGAAAATATTGACATTTTAAGTTAATGTTGATTTCATTCATAAACAGTTTCCATTCAGTTTATTAGGGAAAATATTTTTAATTGAATACAAATTATAAAAATATATTTAATATATATACATATTTTTTTCTTTAATTTTTCATGGTTTTATGCTGACTGCTCTGCAGGAGTAGAGATCAAGGTTTGGATGCAATCATCCAGCTACAAGGGATCCTCTTCATGTCCTGCCATTATCAATTCCACTACTTACTTTATCATTTCTTCAGTATAGATACTTCATTATAATTTGACAGTCAAGTTTGGAATTATTTGCACCTGCAGACTAATCGTTTTCTTCAGTTATTCTGAAAAATCTTTAACTAAAACCTTTTCTGTATCCATATCTGACTTCGTATTACGATGACAAAAGACAAATAAGTGTCTTAAAAAGTTTGGCAGTTATTGTAAAAAAAAAAAAAAAAAAAGCATGCAGATTTAAAGACATAATTCTGGCCAGATGCATGTTGATTTATGCCGATTTAAATTAATGGTCCAGACTGGGCAACGTTAACAGATGGCATTCAGAAACACAGGATTTTTTTTTATAAACCTTGGCTTTAAATCCTAACAAAACAATTTTCTTTTTGGGAAAAAGTGGTTTATTGCTCCATGCCACCAGGAAGACCATCTTTGATTCTGACAAAATCTCTGGCATCTTATTTAATGTAACTTTAACCTCACTAATGGTACCCTGCACACAGTCTTTAGTTCAAAACCCGAAGCCCTGGTATAGTTTTATATGGGAAACCATGCAATCTATTCTCATTGAGACTATATGAATAACTAAATGCCTTTCTATTCCAACATATTTGGATTGAATTGAACTGTATCAACTCTGAAAATGAGTCAGTCATCTTTGAATCATTTGGATTGAATCCATTCTATTTGGATTGAATTAGATTGTATGTAGATGCAAATTGGATCACTTTGTCTGCCATGATATGACATTCTTGTTACTTAGCACTAAAAATAAAAGTGGAAACACTGTAACCAAATTGTGGTCATCTAGCCATGTATTATTATTGTTGATCCTGAATTATGGGCTGTACTTAACTAAATTTATCAAATATTATGGTAGTTCTAAACTTTCTTAGTGGTTTACAATTAGTCTTTACTCATTATTAATGGCTACTTTATGTGTAATAATTTTCCACTGTATATTTCCAAGGGACATTATGGCATTTTACTTGCTGATTCATGGCTTTGCTGAAGATCACATTAAGCCAAATCTCAGAATAATTTGCAAGTCATTAGATAGGAATGACCTTTTACATATCTTTGGAGTATTCATATCAGTGTCACCTTTATGCTGATTCTTATCCTTTGCACTGGATAGATAGAAAGACAAATAGGTGGAATAGGTTGGATCACTGGATGGACAGACTGGCAGAAAAAATGTATAAATATGCAAAAGCACAAACTGACTGCTGGCATTTCTAAGTTTATTATGAGTATGGTAATCCTATGCATCGTTTGTTTTTGGAGATGTGCTTGTAAATATGAGAGCGTGACTGCACACTTTAAGGCTGCTTTAAAATGTTTGGTTGTTTATTCTCTATATTTACAGCACCTGCAATCATGCTGTCTCCAGAGGTCCACACAGACCAAGGGAGGGGAGCAGTGATGCTTTCTGCAGGAATCTGAGTAGCAGCCGACAGAGACGCCCTGCGAAGCAACCAACACCTGAAGTCCTTCTGAATGCTGGTCCTGATCCAGGGGAATGGAGCGGCCGTTAAGCCTCACATCACGCAAACAGCCTGGTGGAGACAGAGGAAAATAGGAGAAGGGAGACACTAGTCCTCAGGGCAAACTCTTTTATAGACACACATTTACACAACAGCAGGGGTGTAAACTGGAATATGCAGGCACACATGCATTAACACCCTTAGACTTGCTGACACACCTGCCGACCAACGCTCTCACATTGCCAAACATACAAACAGCCTCGGGCTACGCTTTCAGCATGAATTCATATTTTTTTTTCCTTTGGTTGCTCTTTCAAGAGGTTATTCTACTCACTCTGCGTAAAGCATGAAGTCTCCTGCATCAAGTAAATTCAAATTAGCACCACTGACATATTCTGCTTACCTGGTATAATCTAAGACATCAAACCAGTGCTGTAATACACGGGCTTCAGGGTGGGGTAGGTTTCTATATCAAATCAATTGTGAGTTTAAAAAAGAGGTTCAGATCTGCTGATTTTAATAAATATAGTCTCTAAATTTATGTATCAATTTAATTATAACTACTTCATTTCTTTAAAATCCATAGATCTGACGTCAATTTTAAAAAGTATTCTGCCCTCTGCTTATGTTTTTTTTTAGTTTCTTTGTAATCTTGTATCTTTAGTTGTTTTCTGGCTGTATTTTCTTTTATGAGTTACTCTCTGCTGCCCCCTTGTGCCTGTGTCCTTTCCCAATGGCTCCCTTCTAGTTAGTTCTGTTCGCACCTGCTCCATATCAGCTAATTAATTCCCCATCTATACACCACCTTTGCAGTCCTTCACTGCTGGTGTCTTGCTGTTTTGTTGCTCCCCATGTGTGTTCTCCCTGGCATTTCCTGGAGTTTTTGGTTTACAGTATTTTTGGATTTTTGCCTCAGTTGCCTGTGAGTCCTTAAATAAATCGGCAAAACTCATCTCTGCATTTGGGTCCTCAAAAACCCTCCACACAAACCTTGACAATGTCCAATCTACAAGTATTATGTTATGTTACAGTGTGTGCAATAAGATAAAGTAGGAATGAAATACTGCTACAGTATCCAACAGTCTAAAGCAGTGGTGGCAGCATCATTCTTCAATACATTTTTCTGTAGCAGCGGCTGAGAGTATGCAGTACAGCTACATTCTTGATTGTTCTGATTCCTTGGGATTTTCACATTGAAACAAAATTTTCAAAGACAAAACATCTGGAAAACAATTGACAAATTCAAAATGCCAGAATGTGAATGTTGTGCAATAATTAAAAACAAACAACAACAAAATTGTACATAAAAAAGCAGTGAGGCTTAAGGAGGCAACTGAAAACAACTGCAGCTGCTTACCAAGAAAACTGCGATTGTGTCCTGATGGAAAAGAGTTCCCAAGCATGACCACAGAGGGGTCAATAATGATCTCCTGACTTTGGCCAGGTGAGGCTGTGACTTCAAGTCGCCCCCCACCTCCATCCAGCCTTAGGGTGAACTCTCTGCCGTACCGATCCAACTCCACCTCATGCCATTCCCCGTCATCCAGACGATGGTACGGCAGAGAGATATTGTAGTCTCCATCTCCTAGGTTGTATAAAACAGCCAGCAGACCATGGAAAACCTGAAAACACAATAGAAATTTAGTTAAATTCTTTCATTCAAAAGGAATTATCGATAGATTTTGATAGCCAAGCTATGCTCCAGAATTCAGGCATCATGACTCTACATTGGGGGACGTTTGTACCGCTGTAAAACAAGCTGTTCAATTTTGTCAGCTGCTGCTTCAACACCTTTTCTCTCAGCGTAGATTTCAAAACTCAGTAGAAATATTGCAGAATGAGGTGCCATGAAGCAGACTGACAGTCTGACAGAGCTGGATTTCTGCCATATTGCTGCTGTGTTGATGTGCAACAAAAAAAAAAGCTCCTGAGCATAACAACATTATAAGAAGTAGGCCAGCTCCCAAGGTGAGAAAAAGGCAGCTAAGGGTGAGCAAGGTAAGAATTGTGAAATTAAAGCACCCATACAGCCTATCTGCTGTAAAATCTTACTGAAACGAAGGAGGAAAATTCCAGCTTTAAGGATTAATTCTGCAATTTTGCAGCAGTAATGCTCTGCCAGGAAGCTCCACACATCACTGCATGGCAAAGTTATCCCAGAGGCAAGGTATACATGAAACAACAATTATCTTCAGCAGTTAGGGATGAGTGAACACAATGGACAAACCAATGTGAGGCGTCCCATAACTGCAGCTTGTACATGTCCTGAGCCTAATTGGAAACAGTAGGTCTAGATAATTCATGGTCAGCCTGGCATGCATTAACTATTGCTTCCTCAGCAAGAGCACCTCTGGTGTTCTATCCCTACCGGACCCACATAAACACACAGACACATAAAAGGTCTAAGCTTTATGTTTTCCCAATTGCCTCATCTTGTGTTTAAATGTTGCAAAAACTTAGGTTCATCTGATCATAAACACTCTCTGAAGTATCCCTTGAATCATATGTAATTATCCTTTCTCTAAGTGTATTTCTTTGGTCTATGCTATTTTTAAGCTCTGATTTTTCTAGCTTGCCTGATATTACTTATAGAGTAAATCCCAGACACCTTCTAAATACATCTTCTCATAGTGCATTGGGTAATCTTTTTCTTTACAGAGAGGCCATACTCCTCTGAGAGCTGAATGCAGTTTCCCAGCCTATCTCTGGTAACCTCTGTGTGAAAAAGTACATATAAATTTATTGTGCACTCAATTCAGTATCCCTCTAAAAGAAGAGGAGGAGTGGGTCAGAGAGGCAGCCCTTTAAATGAGAGGTTTTTGTCAGAAAACACACCAGGGTTGTGTTCAAGTGTTTCTATTTGTTTTGGGACAACAAGGCTAAAAATGTTTCAGTGTGTTTGCTGCAGACAGACATCAGTTGCTTTATACAGCTCACCAATTCGTAGTTCCAGTGAGGATTTCAGGGAAAGGCTTCACAGCCCATATACCGTACATTAAAGCCCTCAGCCATTTTCCTTCCTGTCACTGTGGGATTTCAACAAGGGAAGGGGACACCACAGTTTTTTTTTTTCGTTTTTTTTCCTCATGAAGCAAACTAAAAGAAGAACAAGTCATGGTGCTTTAAGCCGTGCTGTCTGACAAAGTAGTGCCAGCCCAGAAAAGAGATGTTTTTAAAGACGGACCGACAGTGTGAAATCCATAATAACAGAAACAGTTTCGGCACAAACAGGCGACCTGTGAGTGACAGTCCTACCAGAGTCAGTTACTTCCAAGTAATGTTCCCACTTGGCCTGTCAGTTGGTTCGATGAAATCCTTTAACAGAAAACACCACCATAACAAACACTCAGGAATGTGTCAAAAAAGAGACACATGTTATTGTTTAGTTCTGGCAAAGTGATGTACATTGTGGGTGCTGCAATCAACTAGTTGAGTCAAAACAAATATCCAGATACATTGCCTTTCAAAAGTACCAATGTCGCCGCGAATCTTGCACATTTTATGACATAACTACAACAACAGAACTACAATTTAGGATTTCATGTGATGGACAAACACAGAGCAGCACTTACTGTAACCTTTACATAATATGATAGAAATTGTGGCAGCAAGCTCATCCAGGAGGATCATGACTTGTAAGATAATGGTTGATGCACTCAGCTGGTTTTCCTTGACAGAAACTTTTAACCAATCTGACAGTATTGTTTCTGCAAAGTGCCTTGAGATTACATGTGGGGTGAATTGGTGCTACAGTATATAAAAACTGAATTGAAATTAGTTGAACATTTAGTTTGACATAAAAAAGGCGATAGTTCGTAGCACTATTGCCTTAAAGCGAGGAGGTCTTCGGTTTGATTACTAGTCCGGGGTTCTTCTGCATGGAAGTTTTATATTCTCCCCTTGCATGGATGTTTTTTTTCCAGTACTCTAGCTTCCTCCTGCAGACCACAAACATAACTGTAAGCTAGAATGGCCTAGAATGGCTCACATCAGCCCTCCATAACCGCAAGGAATACGCAGTCGAAGAGGGATGGTTTAGCAAGGTTTTTATAAATATTACAGATATATCTTTGTATTACAGTGAATTATACATTTTTATTCAGCTGATTTGATTTTTTTTTTAAACTTTTATCCTCTAAATTGCAGACGGAAGTATTTTCTGTTATTTTTCTTTCCGTTTTGCACATTGACTGGTTGATAAGCATTGACCTTTATAATAATGTTTTAGTGTTAATACATTTCTGCTTTTATTTCAAAGGCTATATTGCCATATTGCTATATTTTTATTGCGTTTTGCACAATTCACTTTGATTTTGGATTGGATTGACTTACCAGTATTCCATAAAATATTTGAAGGTTACACCATCATTATATAACCAAATTCCAAACTTCTCCTTTAACTTTATCCATAACATCTCTTGTGTGTCCCTTGGTTTTTATGATGTGTGTTACATAATATTCCTCAACATAGTTCTGAGGTTTTCTCAAAGTAATTTTACTAGAAACTGATAAGTGGCTTTTGAGGGCAGTTAGACTCTATGTTTTTGAGTTGGTTTATAAATTTTTCTTAAAGTACCTTGAGAATATTTTTGTTGCAATTTGGTGCTGTACAAACAAACTAGAATGAATTGAATTGATGGATGGCTTAATAAGAATTTCACTTTTCATTTTTCTAGTTGTAAAGCAAACCCTGTCATTTAACGTTACAGCTATCCTTTGCTTTGTTCTGATCTGTTGTATTGAACCTGTACGAAATACAAAGAATGCTGTGGTTGTGTCGTGACAAAATGTGGAAAAAAACATAACAGTGACTACTTCTAAAGGCAAACTGCATATGATCTAGTGAAATATTGCAAAGATGTTTAGCTTACTACTCGACAAAAGCTTTTTTAAAACTCAGAAGTGTTCAGCAGGAGATTTGACCTTCCATTTATTGCAATGTCCATTGACTCTCCTGCCATTTCAAAGGAGATATGAAACTTTAACCAGAAGCAAAAATAACCTTGAATAAGGAAGGCCTATTATGTTTTATAAAATGCTTTCCAAAAAGGCACTCTGCAGATCTTGTCAAAGAGCCAGTTAGGAACATACATATGTCAGTCAACAGCCCCCTCAGTATCCACCCATATGTCTCCAACCCTGATATTACTCACTCACAGCCTGACAAGCATCTGCTGCAATCATTTACAGGGCCTAATTTGAGGCTCACAAACAAGACAATTGCAGCTGTTAAGGTGAAGGCGAGTGACCAGCTGTGACTTACCTCTAAACGCAGGTATTCACTCTGCTCCTGGGACAGCAAGCTAAGGATGACCCCAGTTAACGCACGAGTCCGGACCCCAATCTGTACTTGTGTTCGCCTTGCAGGCAGGGACCACAGAAGCTGCAGCTGAATGTGGCTCCGGCCGTCGAATGAAAACTCTGGAGTCACTTGTCAATCAAAAAAAAAGCACAAAAGGCTTGTTCAATTAATTCTGCTGTCACACGGGGAATACATTAGAGATTTACAGAGAGAGTGTGTGGCAGTGCAAAATCACTTTATGTAAGATGGGGCTATCTTCCCAGACCAGCAAGTTTTCCATGTGGGTCTGCACACCTCGTGAGGTTCAAACTGAAAACGTCATGGTCATTTAAAGGCAACTCTACAGGCCTACCTTGATCACAATGCGGGCCTGTAAACCCTTTTTCACACAGGCAGCTGAAAGAGCCCCATTCCCCATGACAGCTGCCCCGCTTTCCACAGGGGGGATTCTGCTCCAAGTCAGTGCAGTGGTTATCAATAAGACTGCAGCCTGGCGAAGTGCTGAAGGATTCAGCAGGGGAACCAAGGTCATACAACTAGATGGAATATGAGTAAAAGAAAAAGGGAAAAGAAAGTTAAAGAGGAAAGACATGTAATAAAGTGAAGTCATGAAATCTAAAGGAAACTATTTTATGTTCTTAGATTTCTAGATTAGTACAAGAAATCTTAACGTCAATTATTAAAGAATAGTGCTACATTTATACACTTATCTTCTTTGTGATAAAAAGAAAAACTCTAAAATGAAAAATCAAACCAAAAATACTCTGGTTCTCTGAGCCAAATTTGTGAAGCTATGTGTAAAAACAAAGTACTGTACACTGCTTTAGCCTTAATATAAATCAAAAGGGAAAGTGCAGCCAGACTGGTCTGATGCAGCTGACTGATTATTAGTAATTGTGAAAATCTTTGAAGAGATACATTTATTAACAGTTGGCTAGTCCTGAGTTTCTGTGGCGTGCCAACAAAGCAAGTGACCCAAGTACAAAGAAGTCATCAGACTGCATTCAGTAAAACCAACTGCTATAGAACCTTCCACAATGATTGAATAGAGGTCAATGCTATGTATAGGACAGTAATGCTGAATAGATATGTTTGCGTTTCTATCAGGGAGGGGTCAAAACCTTTGCAGTGACAACTACAAAAAGTTGAAGATAAAACCATGGTTCCCATTAGTGTCTACCTGGAGAACTCGACTTTAATCATCCAAATAATGGTATGAGGTCAACGTAATTTGCTGGAGAATGAATTCTGTCAATGTAGGATTTTGTTGAGTTTATAGAAAGAGACCCAATTCTGTGTGTGCATGTGCTTGTGTGCTTAATTGATACTGTTGAACTTTTTATGCAGCCTATTATGAGCCTGGCTGATTATATTGATGTGCTTTGGACTTTTAATTGCTGCATGATATGCTTGATGTAAGTTGAGTATTTGTTTTATTAATTAAGATGCTGCTTTTTCTTTTGCAACCATGTTAATATTATCATCTTCTCAGGCTTATTTCTATGTCATGGATCTATTCGAAATCATGATACACAAAGAGTATTTACATTTGAAAACAGATGTTTCTATACTGTATAAAAGACTTATGATCTTTTTTATTTTGACTAAATTTTCCTGTGTTAGATTATTTTGGAGTACAAAACATTCTTCTATATGCTGGATGCCAGAATAATGACCACAGGATTTTTCTAAGAGATAAAAAAAAAAATAACTCTTTTCAATATATAAAGATAATGCACTTCTCCTTAATATTAAGTTTTGTATTTTTCCATAGACAATCACAGAAGTAGACTAAAATCCCAAGTCAGAGTGACAGATTTGTTTTTGGGAATGCCTATGTCAAGCACATCTTTTCTAATGTTCCCACTAAACTTTTTATGGGACTGATTTGGAATGTGAAATAGCCACTTGATTTTAAAAACCCATTTGTGGTAAAGCTTTAACATACTGGCTGATGCATGTGGAATGCTGCTGCAACAGTTATGAGAAATATTATACTTCCCCATGATGCAATTTATTTTTTTTTAATTATACCTACCCCTAATGAAGGAAATAATCACCAGAATAGGACACCTCCAAGTTTTCTCTGCTGGGATGGTGATTTTTCCAATACGGAATCCTCCCTTTTTTCTACAATTGTACAACAAGCTCTAGAATTTCGTGTCCACCAGACCAAAATCTTATCTCTTAAAACAAAGATAAAACATGACTTTTGCTGAAAGTTGACTGAGAGAGAAAGAAGCCACTATCCTTAAAACAAGGCTAGATAAACTGAAGTTTCTGAAAGCACATGGTGGCAGAACTAAGAATAATGACACTCTATACCCAGCAACAGCATCTTTACAAGGTCACATGCTTTGCAACAAAAATGTTCATCTATGGCATACTATATAAAGTATGATTCCTTATTGTATTGTATAATGGCAATAAAAAAAAAAAAAAAATCCCATAGTGTTTACGCATGCAGATAAGTGCTGTAAGTAGATTAACATGGCAACAGCTGGCATCTGAAAACTATACCTGATCTGTTAATGTTTTCCTTTCATTTAACATTAACATTTTTATTCAGATTTTCTCATGACATTAGACAAAGAAACAGCATTTTGCTGTTGCCTTAAAATAATCTAAAGGTATGCCTCCATTTAACTCAATTATTGCAAAGAAAGTAAATATACAAGGTTATGGTATCATAATTTAAGTTTCCACAAAATCCCTAAGACAAAACCATGAAACAATGATCAATCTCCTTGTTCAGGTATTTAGTAAATATATTTAATTTAAATGATGTAAAGAAAAAAGCATGTCTGTTTGGTATGATTATGTCTATGTTTAAACAGTGAAAGCACATCTCTAATAGTTATATATGTAATCTAAAGTACCGGTATGCTTTAACTTTTTAGGGATGTAAAAGCAAAAGGATTTAATGTACCTCCTCTCCTGTATTAAAAACCACTCACCCAGTAAAAGGAGAAACAGTCATCCTTTTTTTCTAAATAGACATAATAAACCATACAATCATGGTGAGTGCAGATACTACACTTTTAATCATCTTGATTAATCGATTATTGAAATAATCGTCAACTATTTTAGTAATACTGCGATGGACTGGCGACTTGTCCAGGGTGTAGCCCGCCTCTTGCCCATTGACTGCTGGAGATAAGCACCAGCACCCCTCGCGACCCCACTCGGGACAAGCGTGTAAGAAAATGGATAGATGGATGGATGGATATTCTAGTAATAAATTAATCATTAAATGGAGTACAGAGACTGTAAAACATGCCCTTTGTTATGGTTCTCTCCTTGTGGACTTCCATTGGAGTTCCTCAAAAAAGTTTTCAATTTCACTTTTGGTTTATGTTATTCTGTGTTTTCTTATTTATTGGTTTCTTTTACTGGTGAAGATTCTCATAACAAGGATTTATTGGACTACTTACCGGTAATAAAAGCCTGGAACTCAAGTTTAATCCAGAGCTGTTTCCTTTCCCCTTTGCTCTCTTCTAGTTAGTTCTATTCACACCTGCCCCATATCAGCTCATTAGCCCATTCTTTGTTCTGTTCCCCATATATACACCACCTCTGCAGTTTCTCATTACTGGTTTCTACCTGTCTGTGATGCTCCATAGCATCTCCTGGTTTTTTGCTTTTCAGTGTTTTTAATTTTTGGATTTTTGCCTCTGTTACTTTTGGATTTTTACACTAAATCTGCAAACTCATCTCTACCTCCTCATCTCTACATTTGGGTCCTCAAAAACCTCCACCAAACCTTGACACCTTTTGCTGACAGAGGGACCCATTTAGAGCTGTAATTATATCAAAATGTAAAAAATATGTAAAGATTTTGCACTGAAGATGGAAAATGACCTCTTTCGTCTGCAAATATGTTCCATGCAGAACTCCTCAAGTGGAAACATAATGGTTTTAACTGGTTTAATTTAGTAAAACAATCTTCTTAGTTGCAGCCCTTTCGTAATTTACATGTATGAATACAAAATAAAACACATAAAGACTTTAGTGTCACCACAGGGCCCCCAAGGTTTTAGCAGATAAATTGAACATCTGAGGCTACAAACAAAAGCATAAGTCATTTAACCAATTTCCTGAAAATATCAAATATGCAAAGGATGTTGACTCAGGACTAAATATTATTTCAGTGTTTAATCTTTATTAAGCCATTGCTATTTATTTATTAAAAATTTATGTTTTAAAATCTATTCCTATTTAAAATAAAACATTTTAATTTTTTTCATGCATTTCTCGTCAACAATATGCTGTTTTTACCATTTTTCCATTATTAATATAATTATTTTTAATAAAGCACTTACACATTCTTTACAGCATTGTAAACACCAAGAAATAAAATACACACTAGAAGCACATGCAGATAAAAAACATTTAAGTGCTATCACCCACCACAACATAATGCAGATATTTTACATTCAGGTAAATGCTTATGTATATATATATATATATTTTTTTTTTGATAGAGGCACATCGAAGACAGGAAAGTGGTGAGCTATCATCAGCATTCATCAGGTTTCTCTGTGTAGCCTTGAGGTCATATTAACATTCTTATAAAAGTAGAATCTACTGTAGGTTTCTGCCATCCAACAGTAAAAGAAAGTAAAAGCTGTACAATAAAGCCACCTATTCATCCATTCATGCAGTTGTATTAAAGTCAACTTGCTTTTTTTACTTTACCTTGCTGTCCACAATCAGGTTTCTTATACATCCAGTATAGTGTTTGTGTTGCAGCTGTGGATATTCATATGATATGTTCTCGTTGACTCCTCCTAGTTGCAGAACATGACTTACGTTCAGGTACCTGAGTATGAAGAACAACCAAAAATGTGTTCTGAGCAAAGTTTTCAAGGTTACAATTCAACACAAAACTTGCAACATAAATAAAACACAGCCTTCAAGCAGTTGTAACACATACAAGCCGTCAATGTTAAAATTCATAGTTTTCTTCCGTTCTTGCTGAGGCTGTTATCACTTTCTGTACATACAGAAAACTAATGTGACACCCTTTTATTGTTATTTTTCTCTTACTTTGAAAATATGCATGATGGGTGAATAACATTTCCAAGAAAAAGATATATCCACAAAGAGATTTGATAGAGAAGCTCTACTCTTTTCAAAACTGTATGCACCAAGTGATAATTCCTCTGCCAACACGAGTCAAAGCATAGCCTCAGGGGAATACTTTTATTCCACTTTATTTATATATCTCTTTGTTTGCAATATGATGAAAAAAGAAGTGAATCAGTAATATTAAAACTTCATTTAGAGATAGTCAGCTGACAAAAAAAGGAATCCAATAAATCTGTGAAACAGTGTGACTATCAATTATTTTAAACAGAAAATAGATTGCTTTCCTGACAAGGATACTGTTCTAGGGGGATTATATATCAAATAAATTGATGGGCACCTACAGCTGAAATAATGGAATCAGGTGTCAATTTCCAAGGATAAATAAATAAATAAAGTGGATTTCTCCACACCAATCAAAAAAGGGTATTCAAAAGATGATTTCTAAGTAATATGAAATTAAAATTTTTGTTTCAAGGAAGAGGAACATGTCAAAGGGATAAGACCCAGCAGTTAATGGTTACTGTAGTGACAACAAACACTGCCCGTTACTGCTTCACCAGTAAGATAACTGAGGCGATTGAGGAAGTTGTGTATAAGATATATATATATATATATATATATATATATATATATAATTCTTATATTTACCTAGAATAGCAGAAATATATCTTTAGAATGATTCGTCTCCACTTTTTATCATAAAAAAGCGTAAAGGCTACTATTTAGGTTTTAAAAGAAACCAAACAGCCAGAGTTTGAATGACATGACCAATGTATACTTGGTTGGAATAACATTTTGAAAGCTACATATCTCCACCTTTTGGGCAAAAACACAAACTTACAATACATGGAAATGTTGAAATTTTCTGGAAAAAGTCACACAGGTGCTTTTATTTATTTCTCCTCCTTATTCAAAAACACGTGATTACTGGCTAATATGAAGTAGTTGGGAACAGTTTTGTTAATGTTTTGTCAGGCTGTGTTACACTGAGGCCATATGAAGTTGCCATATGCTTAGCTGCTTTGTGCATGGTTTCTTGCCTTAATGATTTTACACATATTTCCTAAATGTGGACATGGAAAATTGTGGAAAAAAAAGACATGCACTTTTTAACTATAAAAACAAAATATAAAAAACACAATCACAGCTCTTCACAAAACCTGAGACATGTAAAAAAAAAATAAATAAATAATGAAACTACCGCACAATCCTATGTCCTCAGTTGCAATTTTTTAAATGTGTGGCTAAGCTGAAACAATAATAATAAATCCAGAGCGAAGTGGAGTCCACACTGGTTATTAAACAAACTGAGCTGTTATCAAGCACAACCTGCTATGAGCATGAGGAGTCAACATTTAATTGGCATTTTAAGGATTATTTTTCAGGAAATCATCAACGCTTTATTCCCCCCAGAGAAAACAGTGTGGATCGTGAGAAACTAAAAACAGCTTGAGTATCCATCCGATTTTATCTTAATAAATAATAAACCGAAGATTTTCATAAAGAGCATTTTAGATAGGATTTTCTGGGCTTGAACTGTAAGAATATATTTTACTCAGAAATGCTTTTACCATGTTAGACATGAATATTCAAATGGTACCACATTCATCCAAATAACACTTAACACTTAAGATAATGGAAGCTCACATACTTGACAAAGAACCAAAAGAAAAGCAAATGATGACAATTTAACAAGGCTTTAAATTCATTCTCAAGCAGAAATAGTTTTTTTTGCGCTTTTATTTTCAAATCTTCCCTTTTATTTAGTCTTTTAAAGCAAGATGCCAAATTAACCTTTAAAGGCATAGATAGATTGCGACATAGTTTATATTTTTTAACCTTTACTTACTAAGCATATTTAGGCATAAATACAGAGTTATGTAAAAAACAAAATATCCACCATCTATTATATTGAAACTAGCAAACGATATAAACATTTTATGAGAAGTCTTCTTCGCCCCCATAAAATGTAAGTTGGTTACATTCAAGCCTTCCCTGCTCATGTAGTCAAAACATAATTCTAGAACGTAATTCTATGCTTTACTAGTTTATCAAAGAGATGTAACTATGTCTCCTAAAACTCTTTTGACAAGGTTCTCAACTCTAGTCATCAGGGTTTGCTGTTTCACATATGTCATACCCCTTCTTTTTATGTTTGTCCCTGTTTCACCAGACCAACAATTAACAATTTAAAGACCTCCTTTGCAAAAGATCTTGTTTAGAAGGAGCCGTCAAAAAACTGACTTGGGACACCACTTCCCTACATGAGTTTCAAAATGTGAAATATTAAACCAAAAGAGTGTCCTGATACTATATAATAGGTAAAGTCATCATCTTTTACTGGAAAGAAAGTTTTCTTCTTTAATACAGTGTATATTTTTTAATCCAACCTATCTATAATTTAGTTATATGTGGACAAAGATTTTTTTTTCACAGATTTCTTCAACAATTCTGATCATGGAAAAAAAAGTTTTCAAGGCCTTTTTTTAATTAAGGCCCAGTCTCTTATTCTATGATGTACATTTCTATGTTTTTTAATTTGAATACATTTTGCATTTGTGTATTCCTGGGTGTTTGCTTATCTGTTTAGAAACTTTAGAAAAGCGATTA